CATCTACAATAGCCACCTGCAAGAACATTTGGGCTTATAATGTGCGCTGGTTTAATCTTTTTTTTTTACTGTGTTTTTCTTTCAGAGCTGCAGCATGCAAAAGCTAAACGTTCAATTTCGAGACATTGGTTGGGAACATTGGATTATTGCGCCAACATCGTTTGAGGCTCATTACTGCAGTGGATCATGTCCTTTTCCACTCAAAAAGGTTTAATGCAACTTTATCAATTTTGGATGTCAAAAACTCTAGACTTTTTGAATAAATTCATTACCAGGTGCAAAGTAGTGATCAAGTGTTAGATTTTGGCATAATTCTAGAATGTGAATCCATCGAATCATGCTATTGTTCAGTCGATAATTCATAGACTGGGTTTGGAGCCATACGTTCCGGATGTATGCTGCGCACCAGACAAAATGGATTCTTTGACTTTACTTTATTACGATGAAGTGGATAACGTTGTGCTAAAAAATTACCCACGAATGACCGTTACTTCTTGCGCTTGTTTATAACATTCAATTGTTTCTCCGGAAATGTAACTGTAAAACAAATGCGTGGACTTTGACTGCAGGGGCGTAAGGTACTGAAAGTTTATTTTTAGAAATTTATTTCTCTACCTCTCCTTGTTTCTTCACAAGAACTGATCTTTTCCATTCCTCAGTGCTTTTAACATCTGAAGCGGAGGATCGGTCGCAGCGTATTTCCTTTTTTACCAAGTTGTCAGGTTGTAAATGTAGAAGCATTTAGGTAAGTAAGTAAATCAGAGCCTGCTGTTTCAAAGCCTGATGCATAGCTTGTCTGAAGCAATAGATGAAGCACCTGCTTCAAACAAAAAATTACTATTCGCTCCAAACAAATTTTATTTTATTTTTTGTTAAACAGTCAAAAAACATAAATAGACAAGTAAACTAAATGTTTTATGAATGACTATTGAGGTTTCATTGTATGTTCCACGATTCATTCCACATATTTCTCACGAATTGAATACCTCATCAAAAATATTTCAAAAATATATATTTTTTTGATGCATTATTAAGCAATTTTTTGTTTAAGTAGCTGCAGTGGCAGGTTTCCAAGACAGTCCTGCACTCGACATTCGTCTGCACTTGCGCAGCCTTAACTCTGCAAGTTGAGGTTAGAATACGTGGATATTTGTCTCGTTAATGAAAGCCTATTCCTGACAGTAATTCGCAAACGCAGAATGCGGAGCCAATAGTAAACCTGGCGCGCAAATTCACAGTGTGAGGAAGTCGATTTTCGTGTTTAACTTCAGTGGTATGTCAAATGTCTTGGCTACGCTG